TCTGAAATGCAGCCTCCCGATGTTTAGTCCAAATTCTAAGCACCAGCAGGAGACCTGTCCTTGTGCTACTCAGAATCTCAGCAGGAGACCTGTCCCTGTGCTACTCAGAATCTCAGCAGGAGACCTGTCCCTGTGCTACTCAGAATCTCAGCAGGAGGCCAGTCCCTGTGCTCCTGAGTTCGCGTTGGTTCATGTGGCACTAACATGTCTCAGATGTACTCTGGTGCGAGGCTGTGGAGAGACTTATATACACAAGCAGAGCTGCTGTAAAGTCTATTCTCTGAGCCACAGGAAGCCAGTGCAGAGACCTGCAGACTCTCTTTCAGACAGGCTTGGAACATCAGAGACCTCCACTCCCAGTACCAACTGCTCTTTCGAGTCGGTAACAAGCTGGGGTCTAAAAGGGTCTAAATGAGCCAGGGCCAGTCAAGTTAGAAAAAGTCATCAAAATTGCACAAATTATAATTTAGAGTCATAATTAATCTTTGTGGCTGGTAAATTTGATTTGTGCAGAGTAAAGGAAGGATTTATACAGATGAATCACCCTGTGATGTTTTGTGCTGTGTTATTCTTGTGCATATGTGGTGCTACTGACCTCCACGCTCCAAGACAAATGTCTTCCTCGTTAATGGGTAAATGAATCTGAATCTGACCTGAGCACAGGACTAATATGATTGTAGTTAGGACTCGAGCTGCAGCGTTTTGAACACACTACAATGTAAAGCTCAAAAGGCTCAAGTTTTTATTAAAAAGGTGTTGCTATATGCAAGTCTTGAAATGACTAAAACAAATAGAAGGGTGCATGTCTGACGCTGGCCTGATTTCTTCACCGATCATATTTTTGCAGTAGGTGATAGCTCATCTATCATCTCCGAGCCATTAACAAGCGTGCGCGGTCCAGCTAATGCCATCAGGAAGAGCCCAGCCTCTCTCTGGTCCTAACATAATTATTATACATGGGCCTGAGTCAAATACTGTTTTCCTCTTTGCAACCAATTACCTTTATCTTTGTTAGGTGACAGCGTCAATTTGGCTTCCGAGCTGCTCAATGCAGGAAGTGGCACCAGCCTTGGGTGAAATTGCCCTTGATGAAAAGAGGATATATTTCATTACATTTTATTAAAGATGTACAAGTATAAGCCTGCAGCAACTGTCCAACTACAATTAAGTGTAAAATCTGGGTTAAGCCAGTTTCTCTGATGTCCACAGTAGTCCCTGGTGATACGAAAACATAGCACTATCTTTACTGCTTTGTAGAATGAATGTGTTCAAATCAATACTCTCTGCATTTGCAATGTATAAAAGTATAAAGGTTATTGTATAGGTCAGACGTGTCAATACATTTAACCGTGTTGCATTATGGAGGAGGTGAAAATGCATATTATTAACCAATTAGTCTGGCACTAAACGGTTTGAAGGGGTAAATTGTGATTAAATTGAAAATATATCTTTGCACGTGCTGTGCCAATGCATACAAATTTAAACCAGTTTGGTTTCAGTATAAAACATTGTGGCATGCCTAATTTACTGGTAATGTCATGCATATGATTGGGATTTAAAGCTGGGGAACTCCACTGTCAAGGCACCAAACAATAAACCATGTAATAAAATCTCTTAACATCACATGCATGGTTTTTGGGCCTGTCCACAACTTTAGATCGGCTTTTTCAGACAGAAAGAGAGTCACTCTTCTTCAGTGAATCAGGTCCCAGCTCAACTAGGGCTCTCACAAATATGCAAAAGATTAAATCTTTACTAATAACAGTTTTTATTGTTTGGTTGTATTAATGTTTTTAACAGATTTTATGTGATTTTATTGTAAAGCACTTGTGTGTTGTAAAGGGCTCTATAAAAGGGCTCTATAAATAAAATTTGATTTGATTGATTGATAAGATGAAAACAACATGTTGTGGTCTGATTAGTTGGCAACATTTGACCTCTACAAGACGCTGTCTGGTGAAAGAGAAAAAGTTAGGTACCCCAGCTTTAAAGCAGACCTTCTGATGAGAAGCCAACACTACTTTTCAAGGTTCCTGTACAGGTATCTACTGTACAGGTTCCTGCTGTAAAAGAGACCAGACTGAGCTCTTTGAGCTGCAGTCATCTACATGACCATTGTACTCCACAGCTCCACACCTGCGTCAGCAACACCAGAATAACCCAGGGTCCTTCTCTTCACTTACATAATAAGGTTTTATCCTTAGCGGTTGCTTTTACCTCAATAACTTCCATCTCCATAGCGACAAGCCTCCGTCCACAGTCCAGAAAAATAGTTGTTGGCTCTTGCATCAAATGGTTGTTCAGTGTATGTTTAAAATTTCATAAGATCAGCTTGTGTTGCCAACCTTTAGTATATTTAACATAAAAGCCCAGGGCCAAGGACTTGTCTATTTATGCCCTGAGGATCTGCATGGTCTTTGGAGGCTTTTAGTCAGAAACACTAGGGACCAGACTTCATGGCCCTATTATATATTATTTAACCCTTGGACCAAGGCTGTCCACAACTAGCAACTATACTGAACAAAAACACAAATGCAGCACTTGTGTATTTGCTCCTATTTCACATGGTTTCAATCTAAATCTTACTAATCATTTTACTGCAAATGGCAATAAAATGAATCTGAATCTAATCTAAATCTATAAAGCTCAATGGACTCATCTCTATCAGACACCATTCATTAGTTTTAGTAAATCAGATACAGTGAGCACTTATTCTTTTCCGCGACAATCCATAGCAGCTCACCCAGTGTCAGTTCTCAGACCATGGAGATGAACCTTGGTGAATGTGGAGGTTCTTTGGACATGGCTCATGGAAGTGGAGTGAACAATCAAGTCACGGGCAACAGTTCTGGTGGACATTACTTGTTACACACTCCCTCGGAACTTGTGACATCTGTGGCTGTGCGCTGTGGTGAAACTGAAGATCCGATAAGATAAGATAAACCTTTATTCGTTCCGCAGTGGGGAAATATTCAAGGTCATAGTTGAACACATTAAAGCAGAATAGAAGGAAAAACAAGGGCACTCAGATTAGAGTGGCCTTCTATTGATGACATTGTAATGAACACCTTTGTAGTTCATTCTGGCTAATCAGCATCTGCATAGGATGGAGGTATAGGATGGATTGTCTCAGCAAAAAACAAGTGCTCACTGGAGATTTTGTTGGATGGAAAAATGTGTGATAGTGATGGGACAGTTGAGCATTTACAGAGTTTTATATTTTTAGGTTGAACCCATGGCACAGTGGCTGAGTGGATAGCACTTTCGATAGCAGTTTCTCCCCATGTCTGCGTAGGTTTCCTCTGGGTGCTCCGGTTTCCCCTACCACTAAAAACATGTAAGTCTGGCATGCGCCTCCAGTACAAGCGACCTCACTCCCATCTTTGTGTGGAGTGAGAGACAAATGCCCAAAAATAACAATCGTAAAGCGCTTTGTGACTCTGGTCTGAGAAATGCGTTATATAAATAATGATTACCTACTTGCTTACTAACAGGAGCAAAAAAACAAAAGCACAGTGGTTATATATTCAGTGTTAAATGACCCCAGCTCTGGTCAAAACACACCTTGCCCTTTACAGATGCATAAATTAATGAGTCAGTAAATGGAGCAGATTGGCAGGCATGGCTCAAAGGCAGCTGTGGCTACAATATCAATCCCTCATCAATCAGGAATTATTAGAATTATTATTTTGAATTAGTACCGAAAGCCTGTCTTTATATTCAGCATACTGTATAAGGTTTACAATGGAGCAGCACAATTCCCTCTACTGTTTTCACTGAGAATTTATTCCAAACATCTCCCAATTAATTCACTCCATAATTACCACGCATAGAAAGCTGGCACACTGTAAAATCGCCTAGTCTATTATGTGTTACAGTATAAACACGAGCTTTTATACTCGACCATACAATAGAGCAGTCTCTCAAGTGTGACAAACGGAACTGACAGAATAGTCCTGGTTGGCAACTTGGCATGGAAACAATTAGCCCTCTTCTGGAAATAAAAAACTAACCTGTTGTTGGGAGATATATTTCAAGGACTTTTTGATGATAATTCTTGAAAAACATAAATACGCTTGTTCAAACAGAGCTGTGGCCTAATTCCAAAGCTGTGTTATCTCCAGCTAAAATGTCAAGTACCTCAATGCGCTGATCAGGGCTTGGAAGTGCTTAGGCCCATATATCATGTCCTTGACTGCGCGAGATTATAATTTCCGTTTTAGAGGGAGGAAAAAGACCAAATATCTCATGCTGAGTGTAGAAAACTGGAAAGGTTGCTAGGCCTTATCTGCAATTATGCAAAAACAGTGCGATTGGCCGAGTACGCGCGGTTTGGTACAAAGGGATTCTGAAAAGCCTTGATGTATGAGCGCGCACCGAGGTAGTACGCAGCGCCCCCTAGAGGCAAGACACAACAGCTGACTCTACTCAAGTCACACCTCAACTCCTCTTTGAATAATGAACTACGACCAATTAATGTTTAAATCCTCCCCATAGAACAGATACAGTCGCAGTAATTAACAAGTTTAGTTTTAATTCAGGCGTTTCTTCTCACACGCAATTAAGATCCAGTCTCAAGACAAGAAGGCTCTCCTCGCTGAACTCACTGACAGCACCAGCTCAGATGTAGACAAATCAGATTGTGTTCTCATTGTGTCAACTGCTAATATTTCACACGAGTTTGTTGTTTGTTGTTATATTTATTTATTTTTGGTTCAATGCGGAATTAATTCTTTTTGGAATTACAGTGGGGTCACGTGGAGAGACCGTCTCTTTTCATCTCTCCTTCGACACCTGGGAGAATAAATAGCTCTGTTTAAAAATAATAGGCGTTTCATCTTCAATTACGATGACTTAAACGTGAGAGCAACAGTGCCCCCTGGTGTAGGATGTGTTTAACAGTCCGGGGGGGTTGACTGCACATACAGGAGACAGCAGGCTTCTTCAGTGCAGCCTAATAGTGTCTTTCTTGCAGGATATATTCTTGCATTTTTGCAGTTTTATCCTCCACTGTCGGAGCTGTGGGCACACTCCACTGGTCTGGGTTCAGTCAGATGCTCGTAGGAAAGGGCTGTCATCACCTGCAAGTGTAGCATCACAAGAGGAGAGAGGTTATGGTATAGCTGTAATCCTTTAATAGACTGCAAATACCAGGCAGAGAGAAACAGATGGTAAAAATATATTGTAAAAATGTAATATCTGCTTGAAGAGATCAGCTGGTGTGGGGTTTTTTTCATGGCAGATGGAGCATTTATTAGTTGCTCGTATATTCTCTATTTACAATTGCCATCGCTGTTTTACAATTAAGATTTTACACAGAAATTGTAATCGTAAAAATACTATTGTAATTGTATGCCTTAGAAGTGTATGCTGATTTTTATTATGCCTCACTCTATTCTCTATTTTTTACCTCTCTTTCTGACTGATGCACCGAGCCAAAGCAATGTCTGTGTCAGGGACATTGTGCAACACTGATTATTGTTTGTTCCTCTAATCTCTAAATACTTGTATGTATTTTGGAATTAAGTACATTGTTTTTATTATTTGGCTTTATACTTGATTTAACTGTATTCTTTAGTTCTTCAAAATAAGGGTTAGGGTTACTTGTTCAATTTGATGCATTTTGCTTGTCGAATACAGCATATGACATCCGCATACCAATGAAGACTACAATTTAGATTTGATTTATCTTAAGAAAAATGCCAGAAGGAAAGAAAATTCAATATGCTCAAAATCTATACCAGACCAAATCTATTTCATGGGAAAAGAGAATTGGACTTGGTGCCTAAACGTCTGCATTTTGCTATAATGGCTGCTATTATAGCCCAATTGGTTTTTCGGATCAATACATCAATAGAATACTCACAGAGATCATAGCGAGCAGAGCCAGCATCATCCCCAGCATTATGTATAGGTTATTGGTCAATCCACCAGCCCACAGAGGGCCCAGAATCGTGGCAATGCCCCCCACAGAGCGCCGGACGCCTTGGCTGAAGCCTATGGACAACACATCCCACAACAAGAGAAATGCATATGCTGAGCCCACGTGTTTGGAAAGACAACCCCAGGAATGATAAAAAGAGTGGAATAAACAGCCTGTAGAATAATTGAAAAAAAATACAGACTTTGTGTTAGCTGCAATGTTTGAGGGTCTAAGATTTGTATATTTATTAACAGAAATAGATATTATGTTATGTTATAGAGGTCTATTTCAGTTGGATGGCAGATCTAGGGCCAGTCCATGGGAAGTGTACATTTGTTATGTTGAAAAAGAAAATGTCCAAATAGTGTTGCTTTGTAAATCTAATCACTTTCAATTAATTCAATATTCTTCTATGAATGTCCTTTCTGCTGACCAACATCATACATATGTTATTGTCATCAAAAAATTGTTAGTTCCACATGGTTTTTTGTCAGTACATAATGGACAATGGTCTATGTGACAGTTTCTTTTTCATGTGGATTGATCCAGAAATTACAAAGAAATTAGATTATGAATTAGATCAAGATTTCCAACTGCCCACCACAGTTAAAACTATAGGCTATTTGGAAAGTTGTGATGTCACATGAACACAATGTATTGGATCCATTTTTTGTTTTACTCGACCAACACAAAGGAAACAGCAGAATCCAAATGACAAACAAATTATAATTTTTGCCGCTTCTGTCACAGATATCAACACAAATATCAACTTCTTTATGCTTTTCAGTTTTTGCCACTATTTTGAATTACCCCTGAAGTTCACAGGGCCATCAAATCACTCGGCGTATACCAGTAAAATAGGAAACAAAAACAAACCTTGAGTTTTCTCTGCCGTGACTTTGGAGAAGAGAGACACCTGAGACACCGCCACGAAGGGAAGGCCCAGAAGTTGCAGAAAGACTCCGATAATAAACGCCGACAGCTCCCATTTGTACCCACCTGTCAATGGAGATGACAACGACACTGTCATTAGCCAACTCTGTTTATTGAAATATCAGTGCTTCTCAGACTGAGCCGCACTATCTATCACAAGCCAAACTATCCATTCCTTTGAAAAATCCCTAAAGCTTTTGTTGCTTTTTATTCCTCTGCTATAATGCTTATCCAGCGAACCATGATTTCATTGTTCTGTCATAATTCTCTCCAATGATGGGGCACGAAGGCGGGTTAATTCCTTCCACAAATGGGCTGGCAAAATATCTCTATTTCGATGCGGAGGACTTGCCAAGCTGGAGACTTGTGCATTTTTTTTTGTTCTGCTTTGCATCATGTCTTTGTGTAGTGGAACCGTGCCCGCTCACAGCTTTCGATGTTCCCTTTGGAGATGACTATAATCGTGTAATGCAAATGCAGTTTCAACAATGATTTTCCAGGTATCTGTCATTTCGATTCTTTGTTAGGCAATGATTTTTCTGTTTGAAACAAAGGCAGGATATGCTTTAACAAATAACAGTTTTGCCTAATTAGATTTAAGTAATCCCTTTATATTTGCTCATACCGCTGCACCTGCCACTTGCAATCACATCGACGAGCTAAAACAGATACAGGACAAAAATGTTTCCCCACAAAGTATTTATATTATATACTGTTCATTCTGTATGCAATTCCACATGGTGACAACGGCCTGGGTTTATTTTACATGGAGAATTTACAGTTCAGTGTTTTGTCAATAGTTTAATTAAAAGTGACCGTGCCATGGTTGGCTCTGGTGCAAGAAGCAGTCTGCTAATCCAACAATCTGGACTGAGAAATGTTTGTGATGACATCAGTTTTTTCTTTTTCTTAATTAATTCCAAAGCAGCAACAGTATTTTGGGACCTGTTGTTACCTAATAAATAAATGTTCTGTGCATCAATAAGTGGGCCAATGTTTTGGACAGCATTTTGTTTTCTAAGTGTGAAGAATGTGAAATTTAGGGTGGCAAACTTATTTTCTGAAAAATAGCAGTGGCAGTCGATGGAAGACTGAATTTCACGCTGCTTAGGTCTGTCTAGGTCTCACACTCAGAGCAGCTTAGTAAATGCCTGTTACTTTTCAAACTGAGAATAAAGAGTGGAATTCTTGACCGGCCTCTGCTCACCCAGCTGCTGGTTAAACCATTCTCCTCCAGCAAATATTACAGTTATAATATATTATTGTTGAGAAACATATTTCATGTACATTATAGCATAGTGTCCCATGGTCTGAAATATGCATTATTTTAATGTGCACTTTATTGTCCCCGTAGGGCAATTCATCCTCTGCATTTGACCCATCCTGATGCCACTAAGGCTTACGTCAGGAGCAGTGGTCGCCGTAGTAACAGCGCCCGGGAACCCATCTCCAGATTTTGATACTCAGCTTGGTCAGGACTACCGGAATTGGAGGATTTTTTACCTATTGAGCATGTTTTCTGAGTGGTAGGGGAAACCGGAGTACCCTGAGGAAACCTACGCAGACACGGGGAGAACATGTAAACTCCAAGCAGAAAGGCCCTGTTTCAACCAGGATTTGAACCCAGTACCTTCTTGCTGACAGGCAAGAATCCTACAATCAAAGTCCCTTGTAATGAAAACGTAATCGTGCAGGATCAACCACTCAAAATGTTCATTTGCATTCATAACTTTTGCTGCCAATCTATTTTCTGAATTCAAATTATTCTGTCTGAGCTTTAGTCGAAAGTGGCCCACGTTTTTCAATAAAATAATCAACTACTTGAAAAGGATCACTGCTCACTTACATGCCCCATGACACTAAAACCCATTGAAAATCTCTTGATAAAAACCCTTATCTTACCATCATTGTCATGTTCTAGATCTTGATAACATGATTAACCTTAAAAGAGGATGTCTAATTTACAAGGTCCACGATCCCCTGTTGTCAAAGGAGTTTATTCTGAAAGGTCAACTCGAGCCACTGCCTCGACCGAGCGTTGATTCCGACATACCAGAGACTGTACTGTCTAATGAGGGAAACATACAACCACAATAACACTGAGAGAATGCCCTACGCAAATGAAATCAAACCTTATTCACAATAACACCAGTGGAGTGTAAAAGAGGCAAGCCTGCAGTAGAGTGATATGTGTAATAGCAGGGTGTGTGCAATGATGGGGTTTGTTTAATAAATGAACCGTTTAAGAATTTCGCTTATACTGTCACACGTGTGGACTATGTAACAACGTGAACTTCTGTTGGGGATCTGTGCTGTATCTGCTGTATTTGTGTATATTCCCATGTGACCCCTGCTCCTCTGGGACTACAGATGGAAGTCATCCTGTGGCAACAATCTGCCGTGTTTACATGCATGTGTCTTATCAGAGCATTTATTGTATTGTTAAGAAATTCATACAGTCAGTCCCCCGTATGGGCAGGCCTGAAACATACCCAGCCCTATTGATGCACTACAGCAGTGTTTTTCAACCAGTGTGCCATGGCCAGTTAGTGTGCCTCAAGATTTGATCTGGTGTGCCTTTGGAAATGATCAAATATTACCTAAATGGTTAAACAAAAGGAAGACTTTGGACGAAAAGTGTGAGAAAATAGCAGATAGGTTTTTTTTTTTTTCTCTCTGTGCATGATTGGTAATTCAATACACTTTTATTTTAATGACTTTGTACTGGCTGTGGCGTTTCATTTTTGTCACATTTTCCGCTGATGGTGTGCCACATGATTGCTTTCAAATGAAAAGGTGTGCCACGGATCAAAAAGGTTGGGGAACACTGCACTACGGATTTCTGATTTCTTGTTCCATCTATTTTTTTAGATTATGTTTGAGTACCTTTAATTCCAACTGTAATGTGCACCAAAACCCTGAAATATCCCCATTGTGATACAAATATAGCTTTTTTTTATCTTCTGTTTTGGAGGGCACAATCCCAACCTTGCTTCGGTCCACCATAAGCCTTGAACCGGCCCTGCTGACCTACATCACCTCTTGGTTCACACAGGAAGATGAGGCACCAGATACAGGCCACGCTGCAGATGACCAGCCCGACGGCCAACATGGCGCGGTCCGACACGGTCCTGCTCAGCCAGCGCACAAAGAAGAAGCCCAGAATCACCTCCACTCCACACAGACTGTACATGAGGCTGTTCCCCAGCTCCCCAAAGCCAAAGTAGCGCTGTGTCATGGGCGTCACCATCGTCTGGAAGAGAAAGACAAGCAGATGTCAGACGGCCTGATGCATATAGAGCACAGGGAGAGGGAGAAGATAATTAAAGCTGAGACAAGCACCTTTTAAGTCCTTCAGAGCTGCAGTGCTTCAGTCCACATCAAAAGAACGGGAATGTTTTGATATTGAAATTGGAATATGTAACCAGGGGCCAGGCCATAGCAGTAGTTATCAGAGAGCGCACAGTGCAGACGCAATGATTTAGTGATTAACCATTCAAATAGTCTTTTATGTTAAATATTATTATATGGTAATTTTTAGTGGATTTGCATGCCATGATTTGAATTGGAGCCAAACCTGCCAGCCACTGTTTTCATAACTGAAAATTCAACAAGACAATGGACATGCTATTGGGACTTCACGTGAACTTGAGAGGAGCAGTATGTAAAAATCTGGCCAAAAATGGTACTGCGCAGACGAATCCAGCTGGGACCATAATATCTGAACAAAGATTTTTGTCAATAACAAATCTATAACCACATTTTTTTTCACAAAGATGGAAATCCTGGTTTTATTCCTTGTTTTGTAATGATTTGAGAACCACAACCTTCTTTAGTTCTGCGTCCACATGTTACTTTACCAGTGAGATTAGCTTGACACGGTGAGTTCGGATCGCGGACTTTCTGATTGGTAAAACGGTGGAGGACGGGACATCGAAATGAAAACAAGATTTAGGGGCATGTTTTGTGAAGGCCTTTTGACAGATTAGGGCCATTTAATGATGACTTGACGTGAAAATCTTACGTATTGCTACTTTGAAGCTCGATAAATTGAGAAGGCTTCTAAAAAACTATGATTAGAGTAATTGACCTGAATCGGACTTGAATTTGAGAATTTCAGTAATTCTAAATGTGAAAGAGGAAATATTAAAGATTATTTTCGGCCATAACAATGATAATCAGGATACTTCACATGTTTTTTTGCTGTATTTCAGTTACTGTATATTCACCATTTTGTTTGCACTCATTAAAAGTGAAGGTAAAACCCCTGTAAACGGGGGCGGTCAAATGCTCTGTGAGTTCTAGCAGTTAACCTGTATACAACAATATGTCCGGATCACCATTGAAAAAGTACAATATCGTTACTGTCTAAATAATGTATCTTTTGAATTGCTTTTATATATATATACACAGCTCTCCACTTTGGGACTGTATCTGTGTGTTTCCTGAGCTGAGGTGAAGGTTCTCTGACACTGTGTGAAAAGCTTGAAACCTGAGCAGATGGATCCAAACAGCGCAGCGTCTCTCACCTCCAGTGCCGTCTGATTGAAGAGCGTTATGAACTGAGCCGTCAGCAGAACCACCACCTCCTCTCGCAGAAACTCTGAATACAGGGCACACAAAGAAAATAACTGAAAACCGTATCCCATTTTTAACCAAGCAATTTAACACGATGAAACAGCTCAGGGAACTATGACTGACTGCATGTGATCTCGACTTTGGGAGATGTGGGAAGAATGCTGGCTGTACCGCTGTGTTGTTCCCTCAAATTCTGATGGAGGATTTCCTGAACAACAAAAGCCCTTATGGGTACTTGGACTTCAGGCAATGTGAGATCGGCTTGCTGCTAAATTTGGACGTTAATTGCCAGATGGCTCAAGAAAGTAGTTTGATTTAATTTTGTTTTGTACTTTTCTCCCAAGAGTTTGTGGATATTGGAGATACGGAATGAATAAGTATTGATTTAAAGCAGACAATCTGGATTGCATCTGCCCATTGCAATAGATATCGTTTTCAATTATAATTTTCCTCAGGGGATTTTCAGCTATTATGGACGTAAGGTTTAATGGCGTGTTTTATTAGTCCAACATACGGGTGTGGTTACAATGTAATCACTCCCTGCATTAAAACCAGTGTTGGCAGGTCCCGGCTCAAAAGGGTCCGTGAGCACGTGCGCTACAGAATTATCCAATGAATTCTTATGCACCTTTTTTCCTCTTGAAAACTTCACAGCCTGGTCCAAAAGTCGGCTCTTGGCTCATCACTACCTTCCAGATGAGTGTCGTTGCTGAGGGGGAATCATATTATTTTGGACCAGCCTATTTTAGCCGCTGTGGACTTTTGAATGCACTTAAATGCGGCTTGTGGTGGCTAACGCATGCGCACACATGTGTTTTCACTATTTCCATGCGGGAGGGGCCACTCGCCGCCATTTTGAAAGAGATAGGCATCACTACGTCTGTTAATATTTACAGTCTATGATTAAAACTAATTTACATGAAACATACAAAAACACAAATTGTTAAAGCTGGGGGACCTGACATTCAAACTACAAAAATGAAACAATGTTGTCAAGACCATCTTTCTCACTCTCATAACATTTTGGTTCAGTAATTTTCACATAAATCACACATATTTTTTGCCACATCTTTAGATCATCCTTTTCAGACAAAAGTGAAAACAGAGGGATCCACACTTGCTCGGCCAATCAGCTCTCAGCCCAAAGTCTCACAGGTCACTTTCATTCAAGTATGCAAAAAAATTTTGCGTTAGGAAATTGAAAACAAGTTAAATATATAAATCTAAAGTATATATAAGCATAAAGGGTGAAATAGTGCATTTACGTTAGTGAGTACATGTTACGATATAGTCTTAGAGAGCTATTACAAATAACATCTTTGCAAACATCATTTCAATAACCAGTCAAAACCATTTAATATCAGGACAAAAATATCAGAATTACATTTGTTGAGTGTGGTCAGACTGAGAACATACTGTAAATTTAAATGGATCTGCCCTTCTTATGATTGATTCTAACCGCAGGAGATGACGTGTGGGCGAATATTGTGGCCCATGGAGAATTCTTCATATGTCAGTATGTATATTGCAAATAGCCATCCCTGCTCGAAGGATTTTCACTGCATAAATTATTTAAGAATGTATGACAATGTCCGCTGGCCAACGGAGTGTGAATATGTTATAGTCAATCTCCTAACGTCAAAAAGTCAAATCGAAAAAGAGAAAACAGATTGTAAGTCAGATAATGCTGTTTTGTATCGCTAAACTATTCTCGGTGCAAAAATAAAACCGTTCCTTCTCACCCCAGTTTTAAGGAAAGCACCAAGACGATGGCTTACACAAAAAGTGAGGAGGAGATCAATAATTCACAAAAGCGAATGCCAGAGACACTGTGACCACTAACACTGCTCTGAGCCTGGGCTGCCAGATATCTTTGGCTTTTTTTCCCTCCCTTGCTTGCTTCTTGCACTGTAGATTCACTTCAAAACACAAAAAAGAATCAATACTGAGGATGTTGACCATATTACTAATTCTGTCTCTATTTCATCCACAAGTCAAGCACAGCGGGGCGGTCAATAAAACGGGAAGTCAGACATCCATTCCGCTGCCATATCTTCAGAGAGAGAGTGGATCGATGGGCAGGTTTGACAAGAAAGAGGAAGAGCAGGGGAGCTTCATCAATGCCCGTGCACAATCACTGCTGGCATTTCGTCTACTTTAATGCTAATGCGTGCGGATACATACACACTGATCTAAAGGACGAGGTGTGTACTTCCTTCAATGGAAAGTGTGTGTCAGGCCTGGAAATCAATGCAACAGATATGAAACATTGGCGGTGACACTTCCTACCTGGGCTGCATGTACTGGGGGCAGATGGTCATTGGTCAGGACAGCTCACCTCGGCTGGCGCTGAAGTTTTTGAAGGGGTTGGACACTTTGCGGACGGGATGCATTTCACATGAGTTGTCGAGCAGGTCAGTGTTCACCGTTCTGTAGGTGTATTCAGCCTGATCTTGGTCTGGGCCCATGAGAGGGGCCTCCTCCTCCCCTTCCACACTCTCGTCCTGTTTCATCTCCAGCATGGCCGTGCCCCCCTCCGTGGAGCTGAGGGGCGGGACGTCCCAGTACGCAGCCAGGACTACAAACTGGAGCAGCACCCACAGAAGGCACATGAAGATCTGAAGGAGAAAGTGCAAAAGGAAAAATGGAGGAAGAGTTTCATGTTTAATGGACAGCCACATAAAAGTCTATTCGCAAGCCTCTTCTACAGAATGAAGCCAAGCAAAGCATGGCCGCTAGATTCTGAATAAGATTAGGCCCATTGCATTTGATGAATAATGCACTTACCAGTGTCTTATACGAAACTGTGTATAATGTGACTATACTTTTACACCTGTGGTCATGAGCTTTGGGTAATGAACAAAAGGACAAGGCGCTCTCTTGCTCGGTCACACGAGAGGAGCTCAGAATAGAGCGGCTGCTTCTCCACATTGAGAAGAGCCAGTTGAGGTGATGGATCTATTATAATAACGGTGCCTCCTGGACACCTCCCTGAGGAGGTGTTCTGGGCATGTCCAACGGGAGGAGGCCGAGGAAGACTAAGTCTCTCAACAGGCCTGGGATCACCTCAGGATTCCCCTGAATTAGTGGGAGGAATATGTACTCTGATGCAGTATAAACCACATGATGCCTGTAGTGACTGTTCCCCACAATCCCACTGAGCATAAAAACTACAATTATCACGAATGAATATGAGTAAGAGTTAACAGCCTTGAACATTTAGCAATTATGAAATTATGGAAATGTGGTTCCAAATTGTGTGTAAAACAAAACAGTCCCATCAGCTCTTTGATAGAACTCAATGAGGCCCCATCTGGTCCACAGGTGGTTCATTACTCCACTCATGAGATGAAAACAGATCAATACGGCTTGTTATGTGCATCAGCGTTAAGAAGTTTAGTATTTTTCTGTGTAAGATGAGAGGCTGCACCAGTCTAGTCTCTAAAGAATATTTGGGTATGCTGGATTTGTAACAGCATGGCAGATCCATGTGATTATGACAGAGGAGTTACCCCAGGAGACGTATACTTGTTCACAACAAAGGGCCCCAGTCTGAAATCACACAGACGCAAGAACAAGTTGAACGCCGGCCCTGGAGAAAACAGAACAAATGCTTTTAAGACAAAGCATAAGACACACAGCTTTTCTTCAATAGCTACAAGAAACAAAAAGCGTCAAAGTGACACTGACCGACAAGCAGGCCGGCTTGTCGACACGCCATAATTGCAGCAAAGATCCCGGCCCTCTCCTCAGGTTGAGTGGTTCGAGTCAAAAAGCCAAAAATAGAAGAACCTGCCCCAGCCCCGATGCCTGAAGGGGACACAGAGATACAGATATGCAGATTTAGAGTCTGACAGGGCGTTTGGGCGAGCAAGGCTCACCTGCCACAAGTCGACTTCCCAGCAACAGCCACTTTGAGTATCCAATGAAATACATGAAGTTTCCTGTAGGAGAGAAAATATCAAACATCATCATATCAAGCATCAATATGGTAATATGGTAAAAGATTTGCACAAAAGCATTGGTAGCTCTAACAACTACAAAAAACAAGAACACCTGCGAACAAAGATTTCAAACACACAACACTGGTGAATTTTGTGGCTTAAAGAAAGTGATACATAATTATTAACTTGAATTGAGGAGAAAAGCAACTTGTACATCTGACATCTGCAAATCCTATTTTGACAATTCAAATTAAACTGAAACAAAATACTGCTTAATCCTAGTGCTTATTTTACTTAATGTGTGATAAACGGAAAGCCCAAACGATGCAAGTCAATTTTCAGGTTTGTATTTAGAGTTGTAGCCTCTGGAGATACAAACGTATGTGCACATTTTGCCACTGATTTGAATATAATATTACGCCACTCATAACATAAGCAGAAACATAAGCATATAAGTATCTTTGACTTTATTTTTGTCAATAACAGCCCAAACGACATTGTTCTCCCAAACAAACACTGAACCAGGTACCAACCAGATTTCAATCGAGATTAAGAAATCCTTTATTTGAAAAAAAAAAAAAGCTATTTAGCTATAATGAATCCAGGGATAAATAATATATATAAAATATATCATTGTTCTGGGAGATGGGCTTGATCTAGATTCTATAAACAAGTAAAATTCATGTTGTTGTTTGCTTGTTATGGAAAGTATGGAAAAAAACAGATGTGGTTGTTAAGAATAAGGTCAATGCAACTTCAGAGCCAGGAAAGAGACTACTATAAGATGCCTCAAGATCAAGAGAGGGGCGGGGGGAAAGGAGGGAGAGGAGGGAGAGGGGGGAGAGGAGGGAGAGGAGGGAGAGGGGGGAGAGGGGGGAGAGGGGGGAGAGGAGGGAGAGGGGGGAGAGGAGGGAGAGGCACCGAGCAGGGATACTGTTGCATGAATAGGAGACAATGGAGTTTACTATTCCTTTGGATAAATTGTAAGCTACAAAAATAAACGTCATGAAAATCAATGTACACACATATACTTGTGTTTGTTGTGTGTGATAGAAAAAAATAAAACTTATTATTAACTTAGTTTTGGGAAGCAGGTAAACTTGACACAGATAGAAATCACACAGAAGCGTTACAATTTAGAGAGTCACTCCGTACACAGTGATGAAAGCTACAATGCTATAGCCACAGCTGCCCAGGGGCAAACTGACTGAAGGAAGCTCCACTGGACACAATTCACCAATCTCTCACACAAATCTATAGCAGAATTATATGTCACATCTACGCAGTTCTATCATGAAGAAAGGTATAAAATTCTGCTCACCGGCGATCTCAAAGACATTGGAAAATAGAACGATGCCTTTGGTGGTTTTGCTGTGGTCTGACCAGTAGCCAAAGATCGGCCCAGTCAACAGCCCGCTCAGGCTGAAGGCAGACAGCCCCAGGCCCAGGAAGTACGAAGGTGCCTCCAAAATCTGCAGATATCGATATATTGTGGGCAGAATGACAGCTAGAGACACACAAAGCATACATTTCAATGGTAGTCTATGATGCAATATTCACTGACAGGCAGATCTTACCGTACTCAATACCACTGAGCATAAAAATTAATCCAATGGTGAAAAAAGTGATATTCCTCTTTTTGAGATTGTCCATTGTGTCGATATGGTCTGTTATATGTCGTCCTGAGCCGGTGCCTGTAAAACCATGTCCTCAGAGCTCATCACATAACAGGGGACAGTGTGCATCCAATTAAACCAAGGGGAATCTGTTCCACAGTTGCACATGGTCAATGGAGATCACATGAGATTCAAAATAAATAGCTTGTTAAATGTATAGTAGTTGTTGAAGCTGCTGCTAAAGTTGTCTCTATGACCCTCTGTGTCAGGCAATGTCTCAGGTTTCCAGGTGAGGTAAAGTACACTCCGCTTTATACATATTTTATTGTGTTTTCTACTGTTGCAGCAGAAGCACTTCAATTTCGCACAGCACCCCAAGAAAATAAAGTTTGTTTTTCAAGTTTTCGCAATCGCAACAAGTCTAAATGATCTTTTCTCAAAAACCTTGATTCTTTTTGGATGAGCTCACAGTTTGATATCAACTTGCCAACATGTAGGCAAGCTTCAAACAGGGAGTTGTATAGATGGTTTCTTTGGAAGGTTAGTGGTACGGTTGTGTGTTAGGTGAACCTAAAGTGGAGACGGAGACAAGGTTGGATTCACCATTAAAAAAATTATTGAATGTTCAAAAAAACAAATAATTGCAGACAGGCACTGGAGACAGGGAGACGGCTAGCATGCTTCAAGACAGACCTGAATACAGGATAAGAACCAATCAGCAAAAATAACAAGGAATTTCAAACAAAAATACTCACAAGCTGACTGAGACATTAGGTCATCTGGGAGAGTGTAGCCTGAACCAGAGTATTAGGACAGGGTGACGAGTGAATAAGATGAAGGTATGGATGCCTCTCAGAAGCAGGTGAGCCAGCCACGCCCCCTGACACACACAAGCCCTGAAAAACAGAGAAGGAGGGAGGAGGCAGAGCAAAAGTCATAGGCACCTTGTGTTCTTTATATTCTAGATAAAGAGGAGGGCTCATAGGCCTGATGGAAGCGCCCCAAAGGGCCGCATCTGGCATATGGGCCAAGGTTTGTCCATCACTGAGTCAGATCCACATGTAAGAGGTATCTGTTGAACATATTTTGCAAAAATATTTTGCATTTATATAAAGTTGTATTTGGATCAGGCTTAAAGTAGTACTAGAATTTAATATGCTGCTATCCAGAATATATAACTACAATATGTGTTTATAATATTTCGGGTGTTCATTTTGACATGTTTAAATGAATTATGTTAAAAAAACGGCTTTCAAGTGGCACCTTTATAAAAACGCTAGGGGGCGCCAAAATGGCGGCGATGACGTAGGAGAATGACCTCTCAGCAGCAGACATCAGTCTTGGCTGGAAACTGTAGGAGGTTTCACTGTCATCTGAACAAGGTATAAACATATTTTAATCCGTTTTGTACATAATAGTGTGCAACTCTTTTAACCTTTTAGCCTTATTTGTGAGATTCAAGCTAATTAGTGTTGGGCAAGTTAGCTAACTCTACTTGATATCATAAAACATGCTAACAAGGCTAATATTCGTTTTTACATTATGCCAGTCTCACTTTGGTTGCCTTAGATTTATTTACCACAATGTACATTGTAATATTCAAAAATGCTAATCAAAATAACTAATTAAATAAATATTTTACTTTTATGAACAAAAAGCTGCAGAAGTTGAAAACATAGACTACATGTGATGCAATCATTGATAAAAAATGCTAATTAAACCGTTAATAGGTGTTAACATTTATGGATATTACAATGTACATTGTGGTAAATAAATCTAAGGCAACCAAAGTGAGACTGGCATAATGTAAAAACCAATATTAGCCTTGTTAGCATGTTTTATGATATCAAGTAGAGTTAGCTAACTTGCCCAACACTAATTAGCTTGAATCTCACAAATAAGGCTAAAAGGTTAAAAGAATTGCACACTATTATGCACAAAACGGATGAAAATATGTTTATACCTTGTTCAGATGACAGTGAAACCTCCTACAGTTTCCAGCTAAGACTGCTGCTGCTGCTGTGAGAGGTCATTCTCCTACGTCATCGCCGCCATTTTGGCTCCCCCTAGCGTTTCTATGCGGAAGTGAAAAAGTGCCACTTGAAAGCCGTTTTTTTAACATAATTCATCTGAACATGTCAAAATGAACACCCGAAATATTATAAACACATATTGTAGTTATATATTCTGGATAGCAGCATATTAAATTCTAGTACTACTTTAACATGCTTCTGTTTATTTATGTATTTATTTATTTATGTAACTTAGCTCTGAGTGTGGCACAATGTGCTTTGAAGTGACTGCTGATCGTGCTCCTGTGTTTGTGGCCCTGGGCTCCATATGTATCTTTCAATAAACCCTATGAATAATGCAAATATTTTTACAGTGAAAACCAACAGACAAGCTGGAGACAACACCAGATGTCTCTGGTCTGATCTGTACATATCTAATAGTTTTTTTTATTTATGGATACATGTAGATATTCTGAAAAGTGTAGTGTTTAAGTTTGATGCCATAATAGAAAAACATATTTTAGCAATAATAATAAACATAATAAGCACCTATTCAAAGAGATTTGGGACAACAATTCAATGCAATGGAACTATTTACTATCACTAATGCTAAAAATTACAAATAAAATAAATGTGATTTGTTTTTGCATGGCCCTAAACTACAACAGCAGTCTTTTTACTCTCTTGCTGTTGCTTGGTCAATAACGCTAAGCTAAGCAGAGCAGGGCCTGGTTAGTGCTGAGATGGGAGACGTCTGGGGAAACCAGGTGCCACAGTGGTGCGGCTGTAAAGTGCCAAACTGTTGTTGTGTCCTTAGGCAAGACACTTCACCCACATTGCCTTGAATGAATCTGGTGTGTGTGTGTTTGAATGGTTGATGGTGTCAGACAGGCCAATGGCACATACTGGTATCCTTGCGTCTTTCAGTGTGCCCCAGGGCAGCGTTTTATAATACCAATTGTTTGTATATTTATTGATAATTATATTTAACTGTGATTCCTCGTCACGTCTTATCTCAGGCTTTTCCAAAACAAATCAGTGCTGGGACGGCCTGATCCACAGAGAGGTCATTATAGCATCCTACCTGCCGTCTCCATGGCAGCAGTCGCGAGGGCGGAAGGAAGGTGGCGGCTCTCACCTTTGAGCTTTGTCAACAGTCTCTGAGTAAACGAAGCTTCGGAGGAGACAGCTGCATGGGCCGGGACTGTCACCGGAGTTTGTCACAAGTCTTAGAGATTCTGAGAAATGTTTTTGAACACGGCGTCTCCCCGGAGGTCGTTCAACGTCCCCATTAACATCAATCTGCAGGGTGCACACAGACGTCAGACACGGTAAGAAGAGAAATGAGTGGCAGCAGGGTTGTCTTCGAATTTTAATTGTACATTTCTTTCTTTATATAGAGCTATCCTATTGTTCTTTGAGAGATAATAAGCTATAAGTGTTCATAACACTTAAAAACAATATTACATACAGACGTGTAATTATACAGCTGCTAAGCTGATACCTTTTTCAAGTTATTTTAACCCTATATAGGGATAACACCAATGTTTTATTTTTAAATTAGAGCTACTCCTAAGGTGCAGGAAGGAATTTAGACAATGCTCTATCAGCTGCTGAGGGAAATGCAAGGAGACACACAGGACTTGTTTTATGTGATATAGTCAGAAAAGAGTTTACAGACTTTTTTTTCTTTTTACTCCATCAAGTTTTAGTAAGAATGTTTAGTGTTGTAATCACTGAATTTGGTTGAAATGCGCAACTTAAACATTGTGTTTATTTGTTGCTTTCAGATTCTTTTTTTCTATTTATTTATTCCATGGTGTTCAAAACCCCATCGGTGAGAACAGTGTGATACATTGGTTAAATATATGAACCGTAATAATTGTAATATGTCTCTTGTATGTGATATCATATTTGTGTCCACACGCAGACACAAAGAGCTCCTAAATCCAGCGGTGGCTCTGGAGCAGGAGGGCAGAAGAACAATGGACCCTCACAGAGCACAGCGTGGTAGGCCCCCCCTCTCTGTGTGCAGCATCGGGGAGGAAAGAGCAGTCCTGCTGGGCTTCACCATGATGGCCTTTGCTGTGCTCATGTTCTGTGTGGTCGGATTCACCATCGTTAAGCCATTCATCAACAGGTAACAGGTATAGCGACTATAATGAAAAAGGTACTGAACCTACATGAGGCCAAAAAGGCAGGTTTACCCATGGTACAGGTGCTGTGTGAAAGCTCTTATAATGTGCTTTTATATCACCTTTACCTAACCATCTTTATCCTGCACTACAGTGGCTTACTAAAAGTCTCATTACAACCTTAAACAAATACAACTGGCAATAAGTTACAGGAGGTTCAACATTCAGGCCCCTGTATTGCCATTATTTTTTATGTTTATGTTTTTGTTATGTTTTACCTATTCAAAACACTCACACACAGGTTCTGGTCCCGTACCCCCTGATTCAAGGGCCTCAAAGACTGAGCCAAAAAGAGAGTAGTGGAGCAGCAGAATAAAATTAAAACCATAAAGACACAATCTGCATAGAACCAATAACATTGATACATTTTTGGTCTAGGTCTTCTGCAGACAATCAAATCAAATATGCTTCCACAGCTTTACTAAGTCAATATAAAAAGAGTTGACGTATAATATAACCCATGAGAGTTTGTCGTGTTTGGAAAGGAAATCTCTAGTGAATACTGTGTTCCAGTGAGTGGCAGAGCAGATCCAACTGCACACTGGTGCACACCCAGGTGCTGCAGGAGTGGGTGAGCTGCAGAGGCGTGAGCAGCGTCCCCTGTCTCAGAGCCACAGTGAACCTGAGCGGGACGACTGTGGGGCTGCTGCACTTCGATGAGGAGGCAGTGCTGCTCACTCCAGAGGTAAATGACACCCCGACTGACCACAGCCATCACACCTTTCTGTGGCACTCATAAGCTAACATAGTTTGTCATTGCCAAATCAGGGGGAACTATGTCAGTGAGATGTCCAATGTATTTTCTGTTTTGATAGGAACATTTGTTAGGGATAGTTGATAAAACAAATGGTATACTGTACTGTAGAACATGATGAAGCACAACCCTCACCACACTTACATCTTTTAAAATATAATTTCTTACACAGAACTAAAGGGTATATTATGTTTCTGCAGTGTTTTTATGTTCCTAAATGTCATCTGGACCCTCACACTCTTGCCTCAGAAGTGGAGGAAGTGAAAAGGAGCTTAGACGAATACATGGGAAGGACCTTTACCTGCATAACTGACCAATCAGAGCAGCCCAAAGATGGGATCCTTGGGCGAAAGTTCTCCTTGCAGACAGTCCTGCTGGCTCTGCTCTGGCCTTGTCTGATGCTGGGGGGCGGGGTTTTGCTGGTGGGCCTGGTCAAACTCACACAGTACCTGTCCAATCTGAGCAATGCGAAAGCACTCGACACACAATCTAAACTCAACACACTGCTCAGGAGGTCCAGCCTCCTGTCATTAGACTGAGATCAACCACATCATCTTTTAAATATTGAAAAGAAAGTGAGTTTCAATCAACTCTGCTAAAAGGTTGTTTTCATGTGACATCACACCTTTCCAAAGAGTCTATTGAATAAAATCTTTGTTTAGAGATCATTTCTCTCATTCCTGGACCAATTCACATGAAACAAAAATGGTCAAAGTCTACATCTTTGTCAGAACATAACTATGGTCTATCAATTTTATCTTAAAGGTGAAGTGGTGACAACATTTAAAAACACAGGCAAGATGATGGCCAATAGAAAAGACAGTAATAATATGGTGAATTTGTGATTGGATTTGAATTTGGATTGAAAACTGGAACATGAACATATTCTATAGTCAAAAGTGCCTTAAATACAGCCCTAATGTCAAGATCCATGTAATGTTGATTCGATATAAAATGTTTTATTCAATGGTGTACAATGAATGCAGACAGTTGTTCTTGATAGACACTTAAATACATGGTAAAATGAGGATGACAAAAGGTATTTGAGGAGCTTTTATACACATGCTTTACCACTGCTTCCAATTTGTGCTTCAACTCACTTTCCTTGTCCTTCAAACGTCACCACAGTCTAGCCAGTTCCCATCTTTTATACAAAAAAATAATGTGCTATGATATGCATGATTTCTTCTGTTTAGTGTTTTTGGTTAGCAGTTATATACGAGTTTACATTTTAAAAAAAATACAAAAATATATTACCTCTGTAGTTATTCAAGGAAAGCATTTAAACATATCCGGTACCTTCATTGTGACTTTTTTTTTCCTAATTCACACGCGTAACAAAGATTTAGACACAAAATTCAACATCATCAAACAAAACGATGCATGCATATTACAAAAGAGAAGCACACTGGGAGAACATTTCAAGGGCCTGGATTCGTTTTATTTTGGATTGGGTCCGGCCCACCGCTCTGTATCCCGTACAGATTTGCTATCGTGCTATCATTGCTAATGAAAGGATGGCCCTGCAACGCACCATTTTGGTTACAAGAGTAAATGACCTCCAGTCTAAACATTGAACAAAAGATCATGAATGAAAACTATGAAATATAGGGGCACATCAAAATATTATAGTATAGTACTATAGAAAGTCAGGAGTCGAAGTCTGCGTTGAGTTTGATATTTGATACAAGATCAACGTAGGAGTAATGCTTCAATTTGGTTCTTGAATATGAACAAAGTCATCATCTTAAAAACAAGACATAATTGACCGATTCTGTACTGAATCTATAAATCTTTTCTTTAAACTCACCTGCTGAAAATAAAACTTTTTCACAATGTCCATTTGTAGCAACAATATTTAAAAGGAAGATACCTCAACAGTTTGAAACATGTCTGCCTTACACTTGCCGTTTAAGGCATGAAAGCCAAAAGAAGACACAAATAACACTTTGAAGAAGCGAAAGATGGACAGGCAAATGTCGGGGAATGCACATACAATTTACACCACTACATTTCATTGTAGCACAACTTGCATAGTGTAACAGCACCACACACGCTTTTGCTGCATAAACTTGTACAGCACACAACACGCCGGCTGGTGGATGGCTCTGTAATGGACAACAGACATAAAACCCAAAACAATAATACTGAAAACAACACACCACATACTGCAGGGATCAGTGCTTTGCGTACACACAGACTGGAATAGTATATGTACTGTAAGACTGCAGAGTAGTGGGGTACATCCGTAGTACTTTGGCTCAGAGTAAACAAAAGGAATATGTGCGTCATACGCTCCATTACACAACTGCACAGTGTCAGTTTTTAAATCTTGAACCTCAGACATCATCAGTTTGCTTCAGAATGAGTGGTAAATCATGACAGGACTTTGTAGAAGTGTATTCATGATGAGTTTGCTCTTATCAGACTATCTTCAGTTGTCGTAGATGAGAAGGAGCCGCCTTTCCTGTAGATATTCCGTTCCTAATACTGAGGCTTGGAGGAATACGGCAGGAGACTGTCTCAGTTCATGGCATGCTGCCGAATAGTGTGGAAGATCCAGTCCATTTTTGTAGTCCAGCCGCCATGATGAGCGTCGTTCATCTGCTTCATGAAGTAGTCCAAAGCCTCCTGTTCAGATTTGTCCAGCGCCAAAGTTTTTCGAATGTAGGCGATGTCGTCGAAGGACTGCAGCTCGGGCATCCCAGAGCCCAGCATCATAGAGAACAGGTTAATGAAGAGGTTAGCATGCTGCCGAATCGCCAGGTACGCCTTGTAGCACATTTCCTGAAACCTGTGGCACAAATAAAACGGGTTTTATTAAAAAATAAAGTCTTTTTTGTCATGTGAGAATCTTTCCAACAGTGATGTAAACAATTCTAGAAGGCTGATTATTCCATCCGTCCAGAGGGTAAAGTGGTCACCCACGTTGTCTGGAAGAAGGATATTTTTCAAGGAACGGAATGGATCTGTCTCCTGGTGGAGGTCTGCGCTCTACGAGTACTCCAGTTTGTGAAGAAAACCTAACTAAAAAACAAAACTAAAGTGTAAGTCTATTATTCACATTCAAAACCAAGGTTACAGATTACAGCAACAGTGAAAATGAGAAAATCATGAAACCTATCATACACTTGAACTCAAATCAATGAACAGAATGCTTTCGAGACTTTAAGCTCACCTTTCAAACTCTCGTGTTTTAGTGCATTCCTGAGTTCCTTTGCTGATGACTATGAGGAAGTCCTGTGTGAGCACAAAAGGAACGCGCTCCCTCTTGTACCCAAACTTCTTCTTTTTGTGGTCAAGGAAATGACCAAAATCTATGTGAAACAGCTGTAAACAAAAAGACTAAAATGTTAAAAGGTTCCCTTTCTAAAAACATTAAAAACAGATCCAGAGAATATTAACCTGTCCATCGTCTTTGACCATGATGTTACTGTTGTGCCTGTCCCCAATACCCAAAATAAAAGTGGCAACACAGTATCCTGCACAAGACCGCGTGAAGAGATCAATGGCCTGATCATACCTAAAAACACAAACACATTGAAACTAGGGACTAATTTTGTACAAAAGCCTTGTAAGTAATAAAGACTTAAGATGAAACAGTCGGGTAAATGTTTTCATAGTCCGTGTCTGACATTTGTAGTGATATATAAAATGTATACTACATGACACTTTTGTGTTAACATAATATTTAATCATAGCTGCCATAAATCAATTGTAGGGGTAAAATGAGACTTTATAAATCTGCTTACTCACATTTCTCCTTTGTTTTTATCCTTGAGCCACTGGTGCAGTGTGTGGCTGTTGAACTGTAGCGCCCCCTTCAGGCCACCTTTGCACTGAATCTGCATGATGGTGTGGGAGTTACGCACAACCTCAATCAAACCCACACAGTCCCCAATAGACAGACAACCATATGGCAGCATCCTAAAAGATAAACAGTGTGTTAATATGGTGAAGGCTTGGAAAATCAGTTATAGCCTTGTCTAGAAATAAATAGCTTCTTTATTGTGCATTTTAACATCATTATCTCAGCAATTGTGGTTACAAACGACCCGAGGTGATGCTGGATATGCAGCTCATCTATATTCAAGTGCAAAGTGGAGCACATGAAAGCATTTGAGTGCCATTAGTGCGTACCTGCATCCTGGCTGTCTGAGCGAGAGAGCATCCTACCTGAGATCAAGGCCCTGGTTCTGCCATATGTTCTCCATTATCCTGATGATCTGCAGCGTCAGCATGTCCTGTCGCAGATCTACACACACACAAACACACACACAGGTGAAGATGGTCGGTACAGGATGCTCTTTGATCAACTCTCTGCTGTATTATGAAGCAGAGCTGTCAAATTTATTTTGGTCACAGTTGGTGCAGGCAGACAGTTGTGGTTAAACTAAGACTTCTTGAACATCATGCCTTCCAGGCTCAGAGTGAGTCACAGTGAATTCACACAGCAACACAAAATCCCTCAGTTGGAGTGTTGAACTAAACATGATGCATGTCTTTAGACAGCACTTCAGATGCACACTTACCATCGCCGTTTTTGAAAATGATTTCATTGTTCTGAAAAAGGAGCTCAGACATCATGTCTGGGTTCTCCCAATTAAGCCAAAGCGGCCTTTTTGCAGATGACATCATTCTGCATTCCTCCAACCTGAAAAGATATTGGTTACTTTATGTTGTTGTAAGATGTAATTGTTTAAACCTCAAACAATGCATACCGCAGGTTGCCCAGCTGGTGTGCGGGGTTCAGAGGTGAAGTGAAATTTTGTAGTGCATCCATGTAGTCAGGTCTTCTCATCTGCTCTACTAGAAATTTCATTTGGACCTTTGGGAAAAATACATTCACTTGGGTTAGTATATTTGGTTGAGAACCGCTATGAGCCACCTGTTAAAAAGGTCCCATATTACTCTTAATGACTTTAAACATCATTACAGTGCTATTTGGGCTTTAATGATATTTAAAGTCATGCCCAAAGTAGTTTTCATTAATTCCTCCAAGCTTTAGTCAGAGAGCAATCTTGCTCTTTTGTTATGTAGCATCATTTTCTTATGCAGCTCGAACTCCAGAAGCCCACCTCCAGGAGGTGATTGACAGGAGAAAATCCTCCCTTTCCCAGCGAATGGGAGCATCTACCAGAGTCTGTGTTCGCTTCGATACCGTTTCTGCTTTTGTCAGTGACTAAAAGTGTCAGCTTTATGTGACTTGGAGAAAACATGTTTGTGGGTGTAATTATGAGACTATTAGGCCTGAAGACCAAGAATGCTGCAAATGTGGCTGGACTATCCATTCACTGGGATCTACTTCCGAAATCTGTCAATCATCAAATATTTAGACTAATTAGAACAACCACTAAACACTGCATGAAAACATGAATTTAAAGCTGAAACAATGAGTAAAGCATGCTCCTTTAAATCAACAGGAGACTGAAACTGACACCTCTCATCTTGACAAGCTTCTAGAGCCAGAGGCTAGTCCAGAGAGGTCACACACTCTGGACGGTTTGGAGAACCCTGCTCTAGACCATACCTTTTGTGCCTCATCCTTCTTCTCCTGCTTGAGGAGGTCCGTGAGGTTGATAAGCTTCTCCATGGCCTCCACTTGTCGACTGAGATGCTTCAGGTACATTCCACATGCACGGCAGTACGACTCCAGCAGCAAACCAAACCGCTGGCTCACTGTTTTGTTGTGCATCTCTGACCTGAGGAGAAATCATACACTTTCATAATGATTTTTGTTTCCAAAAACACCATCGCGACCATTTTCCACAAAGACTTACTTTAGATGCCAAAAGAAGAAATGTCCTATTCTCTGATTGGTGAGTGCTTTCTTCAGTAATAACCTTGCGAGTGGATTGTCAAGGTACTGCTCATATTTCAGAACCTGTAAAAGTTTGTGTCATTTTTAAACTAGTTGGATATTAAAGACAATAATGAGGTAAACATTTAACTTTCAAATAAAAAAAGTGGTTACAACAAATAGTAGTTTCCTTTGCATGCAAAACATTACCATGTTAATGGAGCTCACCTGAACAAGCTGAATGAGGTACTGTGAGAGCTTGTCATCAGTCAGGTATTTGTCTAGGCACTTGACGGCAAAACCTCTGATCATTGGATCTGGAAAGTTACAATCTAACAACTCCATGGCTTGTTCTGGTTTAATAGCAGGCCAGTCCTTCAAAAGGCAATACATCTACAACAGACCAAAATTCCATGTGATTCAGTAAAGAGACAATGCATAATCATTTATCAAGGATGTCCGGATGTCAGTTTCCAGCCCATGTTTCAGCCATAGAAAGTTGAGCTCACCTGTGCAACCTCATCTCTGGAGTTCCATTTCACTGCAAGGAGGATTTTGGGGAGGATCTCTGGTATGTTTACACAATAATGTCTGAGAAGCAAAGTGTTTTGAAACACAATGAGAAAACCATAGTGTTTCATGTGGAACAAGGTAGAATAAAGATGTGATACCTGTGCCTCCACAGAAAGTCTTTCTCCTGCTCAGTGATTTCAGATAGCGGGTCTCTGTTGCACAGATGCCGTAGTTGCTCATTGTCAACAGTTGTGAGAGGGTTGTCCCGTGCGATCCTGTTACTCTAAACAAAATATACAAGAAGGTAAACACACAACCTCACCAGTGCTCAATGGCATGTTATAGACCACTTACAAGGCCAGTGTGGCAATAATTGAAGCCAAGTTCATTGGATATGTTCCAGTTAGCATGTTCCTCTATTTTAGTCATTTCTGGGAATTTGAGTGGATACCCAAAATGGTCAAATTCCAGCTCCAAACATGGAGTTTCCTACATGAGAGAGTGAAGGACATGGAAAGGTCATCAGAAGTGTTGGATATAATCATTGTAGTGTGTGTAATTAGGTGGGATAAGAAGCTTGGTCATTTAAATCGAGGCTAACACCCTGAGCTGAATGTATGAGAGCTGTATGAAAATTGGGTCAAGTGGCTTGAAGGTCATTTGCAGATGTTTCTAGATAATTGACATTTTGAATTTTGTATAATATAAATTTAAATTTTTTAAACACTAGAACTCACTTTATTTGGGTTTGAACCTGTTACACCAATAGGATTAAGCAAGTCTTCCAGGCCATGGGGAACAGGCCACAAATTGAGGGCCATTTTTCCTGCTACAAGAGTGTGCGTGTAATCGAATAGGTTGATGTTGCCCCAGGCCAAAGGACAGTGTTCCTGGAAGAGGTTAAAAACAGTTAGACAAAAGAACACGAGGAGACATTGGTAAGTACTGGTAAGTTAAATGTATATTATGGATAGTATGAATGGTGTGTGTAGAGGATTGGAGGTGGTGGCTTTGTGTTGCCCTGTGTATGAAAGGCGCTCTACAAATACACTTTGATTGATTGATTGATTGGTCAGAGATTGACTGAAGCTGCCAATCTGCCCCAGTGCCGCTGTGGCTGCAGCAGTAGTTTACATTGTGTAGCAATGAAATTGAATGCACTTCTGAATTCAGTTGCCACATTCTTGTATTGATTAACAGTGTTGTGTAAATGTATGTTTATAAAAAATAAAAAAAATAAAAATTAACAACCACTTATGTTTATTAGTGAGAGGGGGTGGGAGTACATAAGTTTACTTCATCTCACGAGCTGCGTATAACGTTTTTGGAATGTGTTATGCATCATTACTCAGATGATTTTAACAATGCATGTACATGTTTAAAAGACATTGTAAATGTGTAAGCTTGAATAAATCTAAATCTATCAAAGCATCCATTGTGTCTGGAATGAAATACTAATGCTAATGTGTAGCCTCTTTTGAGTGTCATTAAAGTACTATAGAGCACCAATGCAATATATTATTATTTTTGTGGTTGGTGATACAGTGCTCTAAAATTCAATCAAAAATTCTAGGTATTTACCTCTTTTGCTCCTTTCCTTCCTTTGACAGAGCAAATTGAGAGACAAAGTCGTGCAGCTCGAGGGATGTCTGGAATGTACATGTCGTAGGTGAGCCACTCGTTCCACCTGTAGATATACAGAAGAGTGCATCCTCAATATCACAAACAACATCCATGAAATACAATGACCCAAAGCTGTACCTGGGGTTTGAGCAGGGCACACGCTGAGTGTTAACATTGTCACACATCTGCTCTCCTCCATGGTAAATCCCAGTCCGGACATAGATCTGAAATCATGCACACACAATGCAGCAGCTTAGAAATACAGTAAATGGTTAAATATACAGAGAAAATATACATACACATAGCAATGGCAGTGCAATTAACATTGGCAGCGAGCCTGGAAATACCCATGCTGCTGTGTGCACTCAAATCATTATGAAGTACACAACAGCCTAGAAACCCTGGCCCGAAATATTTACATGGATTATTCAGTTTTCTCATGTTTTAAAAAGTAAACCTACTCCCCAGCACTGCACGAATTACTTTAAAGGAGCAGTGTGTAAAAATCTGGCCAAAAAGTGGTACTGCAGTCAGTCAATATTTTATAGTCTTCTCCCACTCTGACTGACTCAGGTTGCCAGATACACACCAAATCCAGCAGCAATCACCAGGAATTATTTTATCAGTTATTTGTCTGTCTCCATTCACATTGCCATGATAGCCGTGCTAATGTTGAATAATTTTTTTTTAATTATTATTTGAACATTTGAGATGAGAAAAACAAAAATTAAAGCAATTTAATTATACATAGATTATGCAAAATAAATAAGCAATTGATGTCCAAAATAGGAGTGGGAAGAATGGATGCTGGAACATACTTCTTCAGCGTATCAACATCAGGGTTTCCTCCAGAGGATATCACCCTTCAATTTTATTTATTCCCTATTTTTTAGACATACATGTATAAGTCCCACATCAAACAGAGACAAACATTTTAATTGGGGTACATGTGGTCTCAAATTATTCTTTTTACAAATAAGCTTTAATCTTCAAAAAACATCTTGATTTTTGTCTTTTACCTGAATTTTAGCAATCTGTCATAACATTTTAATTTTATGCCATTTGCCATAAGTGACACCACCCAGATTCGAACCAGAGTCACTGGCACTAAAGCACTATGTCTTAACCATTAGGCCACCGTTACACAAAATAGATGCTTCGGTGAAAAACGGATTGAGTCCATCAAGTTTTGCATCACACAAAAACTTGTGTCCGCTTTCTCAATTTTTCAAAGGCGTCCCGATATAAATCCTTGTTTTAGTCTTTGTTTTGTCATTAATGATTTGAGAATCATAACAAGACCTTTTGAGTTCTGCAACCACATGTTATTTTACCACTGAGATTAGCTAGCCGCGGGGAGTTCTGGCAACCCAAATCACTCCTTCCTGATTGGCGCAACAGCGGCGGGTGGGACATCAAAATCTTTTATGGGTTGTAAAACTAATTTTGATTTTAAAATATCTCGGCTGAAGTACTGTTATCAGTTAAGTATTCGAAAAGAGCATGATTTAATAATGCCTTTTGAAATATTGGGGCCATATAATGATGACTTGACATGCAAATATTACATACTGCTCCCACCCCCAAGTTTTTATGAGTAGAGTGCATTCAGTCATGTGACTACGGTACTGCCATTGATAGTATGTTTGCATGCTTCTCTCATTTAATCTATGAACCTCTATTATAATCCAAGTTTAAGTTTAGTAAAAGATAAATGAAATGCATAGTTTCTGTCGACATGTGACTGAGCTGGTATGAAGTAGCAAGGCGTCATTCAATTTCAACATATTTACCTTATCAATATCTCTGATGTTGACGTTGACATAAGTAGCACACAGTATCCTGATACGCAGTGTCCCATTGATTGTCCAAAGAGACTTTGCGTTTGTTTCACCGTTCATATACGGCGTAGCTGTGGAGATCCGCCTTGCATATGAGGGCATAGTGAAGTTGTCCATAGGCAACTGGGAATAAAGGCTGTCTTTTGCCATTAACATTAGGTTGGGCATCCTTCCAAGCATGATACAGCTGCGCACATACTGTTAACAGACAATAGGACATTTTGAGGCTATTGATTACGTTACACATTTTTATAAATCTATTATCCTGTCAAATGCCTTCAGAGTGCATTAAAGGAATGTTGTGTCAGCAATAAGCCATTACTTCTCTTTAAATGAATGTGTCTTTCCCTTTATCAGCAGATTTTACAGGCAATAAATGTATTAGGTCTATAGAAAATGTCACTTAATCCTATTAATGTCAAGCATATCGGGAACAACTGAAAATGCAATGTGAAGACAATAGCATAGGTGCAGCCAGACTGGGATTAAATTAGATTACCTTGTACTGACTCAGAGGGTATTTCTCCAGTAAGTACTCGTCACAGCCACACACTTTAAGGATGTACTTTCCCTGATACTCCTGCACACACATCTTAAGCTGCTCTGGGGAGAGCAACATGCTGCGTGTTTTCTTCCGGATGGCTTCGGCTATGACCTGCTCTGGTACATAATCGTGGTTGATTTTGAGTGTGTATTTCTGCTTGTCATTACTGGGTGACACAATAACCCATATAACCACAATTATTTGACCTAAAAGATAATATCAAAGTTTATCAGAGGCAGGAACAGAATTCAGAGACTAGATATGTCATTGTAAAATATACCTTTATCAAGCTTGTTATAGATGTGCCGAGGAAGTTCAGGTGAGGATTCAACATTGGGAGGATAGACATACAGAGCTCGACTATGGGGACCATTATTGTCCCTGAGGTCAACTGCTTCTTTACACACATTTAGGATGTTTCTTCTGAAGTCCTGAACCTCTGGGTCTTTCACTATATCAAACTCACAAATTGGCATACCAATAGCAAAACCTGCAAAGAAGAACAAAGTTAACCACAGATATTGGTATTTAGCCAATACGTTGTTATATAAAAAGGTACCTATCTCTCTGCTTAAGATTTTCTCCTCTCTGTTGCCAACAGGTTCAATCACTTTGAGAAAGGCTTGAAAGAGCCGCAGATCGCATAGCCTCCGTGTTTCATCATAAAACTCTTCCCTCTCTGCTTCTTGAGTGACACTGACAAATATGTAGGAGCTCTCCTCCTGCAGAAGATGATACAGCGGATATTTCCTGGCCTCCTTAAAAAGCTCATGCTTGACTGTGACCAACGTGGCTTCCCGTAGGCACTCCAATGTGAGGATCATGCCGTTCGGTAAAAGACAGTCCACAAGGATGCTGGGGGGCATCAAGTGCATGCCCCATAGTTCTCCTGATGACGGTCTGGGAGGCATGTTTCTGCCTGAAGTCCACTCTTTTCAGAGGGTGTTGATAAGAAATCAAACTCTCAACAACCAGCTGAAAAAGAGAAAGCCCAAGGATAACAACTGAAGGGGAAAGCAAACAAGTAACAAGGACGTTAATTTCTAATGACACTTCTTGTTCATAAATAAGAATGAAAGTTCTTAACTATGAATGCCCACGGCTAATTAGAAAAATATGTATCTATTGTTAAATGTATTTGCATTTATTACTAAAATAAGCAGTTGTTTACACCAGGGCACTCCCATGATTTGACAGTTAGCTGTTTACTCGTTAGCAAACTTTACAAAGCTCATGATTGCCATCTGCAATAGTTAATAACAGGTCAGAGCGTTGGATTACTGCTGGAGTTTGTCAAAACTTAATAAATTAAACGCTTGTTACAGCACAACACGAATAACGACAAGAAAAACAACTGTAAAGCTACCTTGGTCAGAGAGCTAACGCCACCGGTTAGCTCGGGGCTAGTCAGCCTGCACCACCTCCATGTTAAGTCCTTTAGCCCTGGCTAATGCTAGCTCCGTGTAGCAGAGTCCCAGCGCAGAGCTCCACAGGGCTCACCGGTCCGGCCTTACTCCATCCCCGAGGCGGGGATTGGCGGCACCAGCTCAGCGCCTTATGCGCCACTAGTTCCTGGCAGTGATGTCGGAAGTCTGTGATACTTCATGATGATCTGTACTTTGGGAACCTCGCCTGGATGTTAGCTCCACTCGCTGCTTCGCTGCGATGGCTGCTGCTAACTCGGCCCGCCCCCTCCTCCACAGTGGCCCGTCCTCCTCCTCCACAGTGGCCCGTCCTCCTCCTCCACAGTGGCCCGTCCTCCTCCACAGTGGCCCGTCCTCCTCCACAGTGGCCCGTCCTCCTCCACAGTGGCCCGTCCTCCTCCACACAGTGGCCCCTCCTCCACAGTGGCCCCTCCTCCACAGTGGCCCCTCCTCCTCCACAGTGGCCCCTCCTCCTCCACAGTGGCCCGCCCCCTCCTCCACAGTGGCCCGTCCTCCTCCACAGTGGCCCGTCCTCCTCCACAGTGGCCCGTCCTCCACAGTGGCCCGTCCTCCTCCACACAGTGGCCCCTCCTCCACAGTGGCCCGTCCTCCACAGTGGCCCGTCCTCCTCCACAGTGGCCCGTCCTCCACAGTGGCCCGTCCTCCTCCACAGTGGCCCGTCCTCCTCCACAGTGGCCCGTCCTCCACAGTGGCCCGTCCTCCTCCACAGTGGCCCGTCCTCCACAGTGGCCCGTCCTCCTCCACAGTGGCCCGTCCTCCTCCACAGTGGCCCGTCCTCCTCCACAGTGGCCCGTCCTCCACAGTGGCCCGTCCTCCTCCACAGTGGCCCGTCCTCCTCCACAGTGGCCCGTCCTCCACAGTGGCCCGTCCTCCACAGTGGCCCGTCCGACCAGAGCGTTGTTGTGGTGGGCACTGTTGGGAGTAACTTTTATATTATAGTACAGTAAAATGGCCTTTCTGACGCAACTCAGTTGTGCGACTTATTTAAAAAGTGAAAATTGGTGGAATATGAATATATTAATTACGTGCATTGCTTTGTTCTCTCAGTGTTACAATTATTTGAAGAAACAAAAAGATTATGAGGAACAATAAATAGCTTATAGCTTTTTAGTCCTTGAACAATAGAAGTATTTGACATAAAAGTTAGATCCATCCATCCATCCATTTTCTTCCGCTTCATCCGTTGCCGGGTCGCGGGGACAGCAGTCGCAGAAACGCCGAGACTTCCCTATTCACACACACTTCCTCTAGCTCGTCCGGCGGGATCCCAAGGCGTTCCCAGGCCAGCTGAGAGACTAGTCCCTCCAGTGTGTCCTGGGTCTTCCCCGGGGTCTCCTCCCGAGAGGACTGGGCGGTAGAGGAAGGCAGAGACCTCGACGACCCAGTCCACACACACAACATCTAAAACTTAGACGAATAACATAATTCGAATGCTATCAGTGATATAAGTAGTGTAACTCAGTTGTATTCTAAAAAAAATAATATTAAAATACAAATATATTACAATGTTACAGTAACATTGCCCACCCATGTTACTATAACATAGTAATAGGACAATTCACAGGAATCTTCTAAAACATCTGCTTTGTGAAAATTGTCTGAAAAAAAAAAAGTTCAGTTACTGAACGAAGAAGAGACGCTACTCATGCATGAGGTGTGACATAAATATCAAGTGATATGAATCTCATTAAAAGATGCATATAGGCAAAATGCCCACTATGGAAACTGACTGGACTTTTGCAACAACTATGTGTTATCACTCATATTAAGTGGGCTCATCTCCCCTACTCTGGCTCATGTTTGGCGGAGAGCCTCCTCCTGCTTGTTTCCATGGAAATGCATTTTATTATCAGTTTCTAGAAAGCCTGACAGTTGCCCCTTTGAATATGTAATTATACACAGATGATTTTTCATCTCCAGAAAATTACTTTTGTAAACACCAGGCCAATTAGAAAAAGAAAAAAAAGCTGCGTTTTTATTTTGGTCATTTCTTCAAATTCAGTTTAAACAACACAGTGCATTCTCAATGTCATTGATACAATAACAACAATAGTCTTGTAAACGAAGGCACAGATAGGGCAGCATGCGGTGTTTTGAATGTAGTCTCCAACTCAGAACATTCAGTCCACTGTGTAAACATCCTCCCTGTGCTTAGAGACAGCTGTTTCACGTGTCCCATTCAAAATGGAAAGTTTACAAGAGGTCGTGACAAGGACACTCAGTTCACTTGGTTCAAAACGGTGTGTCTCCTAAGTGTTTACAATCCCTCATTTACCCGCTGTTCACCTCTTGATTTTTCCAATCTCATCACAGAGTCTGGAGAGGTACTGTGTGAGCTTGACCATGAGGATGATGAGCACCCCTCCAGTGAGCATGCATGAGGGCCAGAGCAGGGTATGGAAGATCGCAGTGTGATTATACAGTCGTGACAGCAGCACTGCCTCCTGCTGATCCAGAGGGTCGTAGAAACAAGGGACCTGCTGGTTCACTTTAAGACGCTCTGAAATGTTCATGATCATGGAGTGCATGGCCAAACTGTCCCTCTGGCACCGCGGCACATAGAAGCACTGCAAAGAGAGGGACAACATGGCTACAAATATAAATGTGTTGTTCTTATGTTATACTACAGTGGCTCTCAGCCTGAAGTATATTAAATGATGATGGAGAACCTGGGCACTGACACAATACTTTACTTTCATAATATTTTGTGTATTATGTAACCTGACACATGTGACTGTGCACAATATTAATTGGCTACAAAATATATCAAAACAATTTTCGATATGGTTCATTAAAAAAGAAATGTGAACAGTCTCCTCCCCATTTTGATATATATATATATATATATATACATCTAAACAAAAATATTTTAGCACACTTCTATAAAGTTTACCTCAGAGCTGGCGTCCTGAGTCTCCTCATTGTGGGACAGGCGGCTGATGCGGCCTGTGCTGTTGATGTTGACGTACACCTTTAGACAGGGGTACTTGGACACTCTCCAACAGTCAGAGCCACAGCTGTAGGAGCAGTTCACGTCCGCCGTCACCGTGGAGTTAAGTACCAGACACACACCTTCCTCTGTCCACACACTATGACAAATCACACAAATCTACTTAATGCAAGACGCGTCAAAGTTTGTCCTTGTATAAAACAGTGGACTGACCTGTCTGCATAAGAGCGCAATAGAGTTATCCCCAAAACAAAATACATCATTACCGACGACAAGATCATTCCTAACCCCAGGAGAATGGCCCGGTCCTCTCCGGGCTTCAGAGCAGTCTCTGTGTTCTTCTTGTCCAATATATCCACATCCCGGAACTTTTGATAAATGGACCTGATAAGAACGACATTGAATTATTGACCCTGCAATAAAAACAAAAATAATGATACATTTTATTTTTTAGGCGCCTTTCTTGACACCCCAGTTTGCCTCACAATACAAGTAAAAATATATTATAAATATTCATATATATATTTACAACATAATAAAAACATTATTATCATAATCTTATTTACCTTCTTTCATTCCCCCCGCCACCACCTCCTCCTCTTCCTGAGTTTTTGGCCCCTGCCACAAAGAACATTTTTCGAGATGATCCACGTCTTCTTTCAAGAGCTGATCCAGAACGTAAAGATTGTTGGAAAGACCTTCAAAAGCAAAACAATTTAAGAATGTATAAATACTTATATAAAGGAAGCCTCAATAAAACATTATACCTTTGGTGCATTGTTGCAATCTATTATACTACAATTTTAGCAATACACCCATCCATCCATCCATTTTCTTCCGCTTTATCCGTTGCCGGGTCGCGGGGGCAGCAGTCTAAGCAGAGACGCCCAGACTTCCCTATCCACACACACTTCCTCCAGCTCGTCCGGGGGGACCCCAAGGCGTTCCCAGGCCAGCTGAGAGACATAGTCCCTCCAGCGTGTCCTGGGTCTTCCGCGGGGCCTCCTCCCGTATTTTAGCAATACACATTTTAGCAATACAAATTATAGAAGCGATCACCAGTTGCAGAATGAGGTTATGAGGCAAAAAGGTTGCGCACCAACACAAAGCAAACATTTCCCACAATGACATGCAACAGAAAGTCAACAACAAGATTGATAGACACAAATAAAAGGTGTTAATGCTGTTGAGGCATACCTGGTGTAGAGAAGAGTAACTAGGCTTCTGTCAACACAAAGTGATCGCCCTGTCACCTGCTTCAGCTCCTGTTTAGACAAAACCAATTCTATTCAGAGTGAGCGTACACTTTTCATATCCACAAAATAGAATTATCATAAGCCATTTTATAACGTTTTGCAATTTGAGCCATAATTCACTTTTTTCATGCTGTAAAACATTTCATGAGATGGTAGTAGAAGGGTACTACGAGTATATTCTAATTTCTTTAAACTGTTAAGAAACATTGGGTTGATTTTCTCTATTCATAGACTCTACCCTGCAACATCATCATTAAAATCTGTGTATAGTAAGTTTATAATAAAGCATTTCAGCATGGCACCTATCATTTTATCTAAACCCAGTAATAAATATAGTATGTTCTTAAATTCAGACTTTGAAGTACAACTAAAGAGGACACATGTTTTTTTGGGAAGATGGCTGTGGCCTCACCCTTGTCCTGGGACCACATTATTACATATTACGGAAAGTTTTTTGGAAAGTACTTCCTTTCTACAGCTGTTTTTACACCCACGACTGACTCAAAATCTCAACACTTCTATGGACATTGGACACTGTGAAGCCCATAAAAAAAACATACATTCACATTCTCAACATTTTTTGGCATGCATACCAAAACAGCAAATTGCACTTACATAGATTTACGCTGCCTGTCTCTAACTCCCCAACTTTTCTCCAGCGTCACTGCACAACATTGACTATAGAGCGTCCTGAGTGTCCCGAGTTCCAGGCATAACTGTATTAATTTCAGCTAAAGATGGACACTCTGATTTTGAGAATGGACAGCTTACTTCACACTTTAGCAGCAGTCTTTTGAGTTTAAGGGCTTGTGTAGCGGGGTCAGGCTTACACTGGTAGGTGACTTCCTACCCAATAACTTTTAAGGCATGACCACTGACGCTACAACTAATGATATATGGAGGAGCAGCCTGTCTGTCTGACCTTGTAAGTTCACATAACACTAAGCCACAGACAAGATTACATTTACTTATAAGGAAATACTAATTGAATGTAATGATTAATTCTCATACATTATTTTCATTGATGATTTACTAAACATGACAGGACTTTTATTAACAAGGTAAGAGTAAACAAAGTAAGAAAATATTTATTTAAATAATCAATGAATCCAGTAATGATTCTTTCAATTAGTTGTTGTTGTAAATGTTTAGAACATAATATGATATTTTAACTCAATTCAGTCTATGAATTTGACCCAGATTAAGCTTACATGAAGGATATCCTTATACAAATTACTCTCAGAACTATGTTATCATTAAAGACAAGACACAATTCCTGATTACTTTTGATCAAGAAACTACTCTGTTTATGTCTTGAAATCACATCTCACAGCTCATGCATGTGTTGAGTCTGTGTACAGTATATAGGTCATGATAGAGCAGTTAACAAAGACTCACTTACTAAAATAGAAGTTTGTTGTTGAAAAAATATTTGGTTGCCATCAACATCTGGAGATGGCTCTCTGAATCGCGGTGACCACTGCGTCTGACACGTTGCTCATTGTAGAATGAGAAGGATGGTCAAATGCAGAGGACTATTTTTCATATGTGGACAACAAAGTGTACTTATAACTTCTCAGAGAAAGGTGACCTTACATTTTCTGCAACTGATTATGGAAAAGGGTGTTGGTTTTTTTATTGTATATTTTTTACATTTTGAAAGTGCAGTTGATGTCATGGGGCTCTGTGGGGAATGGTTTTGATCCTATACATTTACTCTTGGCACGATGTTCTGCTGCAGCCCAGAGGCATTCAGGGCCCAGCCTGCTATCAGCGCGCTCTTTGATGAAAAATGTCTGGAGATGTATTTTTGCCTCGTCCTTCCAGTGATTATTGCTTTTATGGCAGGTGCTTGGAGTTCTCTCTGCCTTGAAATGCTCTCTATGACACACCATACATCACAGACTACTAGCACTTGCAATGCATCTCAACTTTAGTGGTACATTCATTTCCGAGATGGATGAAAATAAATGTGCATATCGCAGTATTAAATGAAAACGTGGATTTTAAAATATGCCTTACAAAAGGTCAAAAACAAATAAATGTTTTTTGCTAGATACTATAATCTTAACAATTATATCTTTGATTAAAGTTAGGTATAGATGGTATTTCAATAGATTGGTAATTGGCCATCACTTTTGTTTTGGTGACCTCGTTGATTTCACATCACAAATAATAATAGCAATAATGCCTATGGTACAACTAAGTGTCCCTGTGGTACTGGTATTTCAACTGTGTAATGAGTTGAGATACCAGCAGTCCCTACCTCTTTCCAGTAGGCAGTTATTTCATAATCCACTCTTTGGGATTCAGACAGTTGTCAGCAGTGGCTATTCCGACATGCTCCATTCAACAGACACGGCAGCTGGCTACCTCTTATTTAAACTCAAAGTGCCGTTCCTGTCATACCTGTACCTACAAGTTAGGAGCTCCACAAACAATGAAATCATAAGTTAAAACGAGAGACTGAGAATCCCAGCTGCACATTTCAAATATATGAGCCGGTTGGGACTCTGATGTGGTCATGATGCATGTGAGAGCAAGAAGACCTCGCACATTTCAACAATGAGGTAATTGTGGGAGGGCCTCTCCTGAGTCGAAAGGACACAG